CCACTCCCAAACAACACATTCACTGTTCAATCTACTAAGAACTATAAATAAGTACCATTTTATAAATACCACCTCCACACATAAAAGGTTTATCAGCCCGGCCATTGTGGCTCAGTGGTTGAGTGTCAACCCATACACAAGAGGTCACTGGTTTGATTCTCAGTCAGGGCACATGTCCAGGTTGTGGGCTCGATCCCCCATAGGGGGCATGCAAGAGGCAGGCGACTGATGTTCCTCTAATGGATGTTTCTATCTCTCCCTCTCCCTTTTTCTCTAAAATCAATATCAATAAAAACATTTATTTTAAAGTTTATCATTTAGGGAAACAAAGATTGTTGTACTGTCAACTTTGAATACTTTAAAGCATGAATGTGATCCATTTCTTTAAGACTGATTTTAAAAGTTTGACCATTGGGAGAAACCAAGATGGCGGCATAGGTAAACACCAGAAATTGCTGCCTCGCACAACCACTTCAAAAATACAACTAAAAGACAAAACGGACATCATCCAGAACCACAGGAAGGCTGGCTGAGTGGAAATTCTACAACTAGAAGGAAAGAGAAAAGCACTGAGACTCAGAGGAGGTGTGGAAGTAAAGTGCAGAGGTACGGAGGCGCACGCCGAAAGGGCTGGCAGCTGAGGACTCGGCGCACGTGGAAAGGGCTGGCGGCTGAGGACTGGGCTCTCAACTTCAGTCCCTGCACATGACACCTAAAGGTTCAAGGCATCTAGTCAAAGGCAGGGGGAAAACTCTCAGCCACGATCCATTAACATAAGGTGGTTGAGCAGGTATTGATAAAGAATTCATGCATCTAATTTACGTTCATTTATTTCATTGCAAGAGCAATAAACAATCATGTTTTTCTCAGATCACACATTGAAAGAATCTAAGGACCAGTGTGGTGTCTTTGACATGAAACCAGTGCTAAGGGGACTTGAACATGATTGCTATAGTTCTGGTTGCTTCATCCATAAAGAGCTCTCAAGTGTTCTCAAAGCAGGCCTGAGTGAAGCCTTTCTCTCATGATGGCCTCCAGTGAGTGTCCACAACACGTTTGCTTATGTTCTTTTTTGTTGTTGTTAATCCTCACCTGAGGATATTTTCCCATTTTATTTATTTATTTATTTATTTAAGTTTTGGCTGTATCTCGTCTTTTTTTAAATATATTTCTTATTGTTGATAGTATTACAGTATCTTAGAATGGAAGTGAGTGGAGAAAGAAGGGAGGGAGGAAGGAAGAGAGAAATATCAAAACATCAATGTGAGAGAGACACACTGAGTGGTTACCTCTTACACACACCCTGACCAGGGTGGGGGATTGAACCTGCAAACCAGGTATGTGCCCTTGACCAGGAATCAAACTTGAGACTCTTCGGTGAGTAGGCCAAAGTTCTAACCACTGAACACACCAGCCAGGTCTGCTTCTGTTCTTGATGTTTCATGCTGTGGTCTCATATTTCAAGTCTATCTTCCCTCAGTCAGGACTCTTCCTGGCTCATTGCTTATTGGTTGTTCTCACTTGGAACTTCATAAGCTTTATGCCATTTTCTCTTCTTGCCTCATTTCTGATTTTTCTTTCTCTTCTTCGGTGTTCTTTACTGGTTTGGGTCTCTGTCCTATCATTCCTCTGCTATTTTGTAAGCATTTTCTCTACAGGTCTTCAGTCTTACACATCGTTAACCATGTTTACAGTTTTAAAAACTTCTAAACCTTTAAGCAAATAAATACTCAAAAACTGTGTAAAAGTCACCAATGAAGTAAATAAGTGCTCAGAAACAAGTGCAAGTCTTATAAACACTTCATGAGCTGTATTAAGTTGAAAATAGGTGTTGCAGAAATTATAAATTTAATTTTAGAAGTATGACATAAACAAATGGTTCAAAATATAAGTATTTTCTCTAAGAAATTATCACTCACGTGTCATAAGGTGGTGTATTCATTGCTGGCAGTGACCACATGAACTCTTACCTGAGCCTTGGTATTTTTTCCATCGATTAAATGAAAAGACTGGTATTAATAGTACCTACCTCATAAGTTTGTTCTGAGAATTAAATAAGATAATGTATATAAAACACAGCACTAAGATCAATCAATTATTGGGTTCAATTTGCTGTTATTATGTAAGATATTTTTTCCTTCTGTTTGGAGTGAAATTTGAAGAGATAAAAAAAAAGCAGCTTCTCACCACCACAAACCTTGTTTTCTCACTGCTTCTGAGAGGGCTGACATCGCGACAGCTGTCTGGGCGATGCAGAAGGAAGCAGAACTCAGCCTTTCCAGAGTCACTCTTATTGAGCTGTTTCTCTTCCACCCTTTCCCCCTGTGGTCAAAACGTAGTTGAGGGAATATAATAGAATCAGGGGCATAGAAAGGGAGTGGACTGACTATTCTTGGGGGGGAAAGGGGTGTAGGGGGTGTGGGAAGAGACTGGACAAAAATTGTACACCTATGGATGAGAACAGTGGGTGGCGGGGGTAAGGGCAGAGAGTGGGGTGGGAACTGGGTGGAGGGGAGCTATGGGGGGAAAAAGAGGAACAACTGTAATAATCTGAACAATAAAGATTTAATTTTGAAAAATAAATAAATAAAAGAGATGTCAGAGAAAAAAAGTTTGACCATTGGTTAAACAGCATGCTATTAAACAATGATTGGGTTACCAAAGAGATCAAAGAAGAAATAAAAAGCATCCTGGAATCAACTGACAATGAAAACACAACAATCCAAAATCTATGGGACACAGTGAAAGCAGTCCTGAGGAGGAAGTTTATAGCTGTACAGGCCCACCTCAAAAAACAAGAAAAATGGTAATAAATTATCTAACCCTGCAACTTAAAGAATTAGAAAGAGAGCAACAAGAAAAGCCCAAAGTAAGCAGAAGGAAATAATAAAGATCAGAATGGAAATAAACGACATAGAGACAAAAAAAAAATACAAAAGATCAATAAAACCTAGTGCTGGTTCTTTGAAAAGATAAACAAGATTGATGAACCTCTACTCAGGCTCACCAAGAAACAAGAGAGAGGACCCAAATAAACAAAATCAGAAATGAGAGAAGTAACAACCAACCCCCCAAACATACAAAGGATCATAGAAAAATACTACAAACAACTCCAACAAACTGGACAACCTTGACGAAGTGGACACATTCCTAGAAAAATACAAGCTTACAAAACTCAATCAGGAAGAATCAAGATTTGGAAACAGCCTAAGTGCCCATCAGCAGATGAGTGGATTAGAAAACAGTGGTAGCTACACAATGGAATACTACGCTGCTGTAAAAAAGAAGGAATTCTTACCATTTGCAACAGCATGGATGGAACTGGAGAGCAATATGCTAAGGGAAAGTCGGAGAACGATAAATATCACATGATCTCACTCATTTGTGGAATATAGAAAACAACATAAACTGATGAACAAAAATAGAACCAGAGACACAGAAGCATGGATCAGACTGTCCAACCTCTGAGAGAAGGCGAGGGGTGAAGGGGTAAGAGATCAACCAAAGGCCCTAGCAGGTCTGGCTCAGTGGATAGAGTGTCAGCCTGTGGACTGAAGGGTCTTAGGTTCGATCCCGGTCAAGGGCATGTGCCCAGGTTTCGGGCTTGATCCCTAATGGGGGGCATGCGGGAGGCAGCCAATCAATGATTCTCCTCATTGATGTTTCTATCTCTCCCTCTCCCTTCCTCTCTAAAATCAATAAAAATATATTTTTTTAAAAAAGAGATCAACCAAAGGACTTGCATGCATGCGTATGAGCATAACCAATGGACACAGATGGGGGAGGGCATGTGCTGGGGGGAAGTGGGGAGGGGCGGCCGGGGAGAGGTCAATGGGGGGAAAAGGAGACTCATGTAATACTTGAAACAATTTAAAGAATGTAAAATAATAATAAGTAAATAAATAACTACTCTTCCTGCTTTGTGATTTGGTTCAAATTGGGATGGGGGTGGGGGGAGAAACAGTCTTTAGCAGATCTAGAAAAAGATTTAGCTTTTCCCACCACCAGAAAGACAATGTTAAGTGCTCTTTGGCTAACGCTGTGTAACCCATTACGTTAGAAATTAAAACAGTGGCATTGTTAAAAAAGAGGTGTAGGAGACCCAAACTTTCTGTCTGATTTTGAATGCAGGCAGATGTGTCTTAACCTCACGTGATTCATAACCTCACATTCACTTGGCCCTGAAAGCTCACATAAGGAAACTTGGCTTCATTGATAAAAACAACAACCCAACATTTCACCTATGGGATGAAGGAGGGGCCCACGTGGGGTAAAAATAAATAAATAAATTTTAAAAAAATGTCGGGACAGCGCTACCCAGCTGCCCGCCCCACGGGGAGGTCTAAGGCGCTCTCACACTGTGACGGGTTTCCCGCCGCGGGCATCCCTCCCCGGCGCTGCGGGACCGAGCAACCTGCCCGCGTTAATTGGTTCCCGGAGGCCCGCCGCCCACCGCGGAAGAGGCGGGGAAGCCTCCGCGGGAGGGGCAGCTGCAGAAGCTCGGTGCGGGGACGGGGGAACGAAAAGCGGCGGGAGGGGAGAGCAGTCAGGACCACCGTCCCTCCTCCCGTGGCACCACTTCCAGTTTCCTCGTCCAAGGACCAGAACCGGGCCCCTCACGCGATTCCCGCGCCCGTGCGGGTCAAACTGCTGCCCG